GTCATAAAAACATGTTGCCAGGAATGGATCTTGCCAAGGGCGCCTATACAGAACCTTCAATCAGAAAGTTTCTAAACCTTTCATTCCTCTCCCTTTCACAATTTGACCTTCGCCGAGCAGAATGCATTGAAATGTATACAATAACTTCCCACGTCAACGGATTGCAGTATGCGTCACTGTGTTCATGGAATCATTGTGTGCACCTGCACACAATATTATGCTTAGGGGGATGCGACCCGAATATTCCTAAGTCGAAAGCATCGACTTTATGACTAAACTACAGAAATTAAGTCCGAGGGCAAGTACTTTTTCTCACAAAGCGGACAAAACAGCGCCCATCAGGAACTAACTATTTATGTGGGCGTTGACAGGTGAAGTTTCGCATGCTAGTACATGTACATAGTTTTAATATACGTAAGCTTACAGCACACAGGGACGTATTCAGGATATTTTGTTAGAGGAGGGGTTGGAAATTTTTGTTCGCCCAGGTTGGGGTGTTACTAAATGTAGTAGTCGCCGTTGGTAAAGCGATTCAATCCCTTTCCCCCTTAACCATTACACGCCAAAATAATACCCCTAAATTCTTTGTGCTTCTTATAGAGCCTCCTAATCTTTACACGTAGGACTCTAAAAAATTGACATTTTTTCCCTTTTCAACTGAAAGCCTCCAACTACATGTAGTGATGAGAATAAATTGACCATCGTCCTCGCAAAAACAAAAAAGTGTGTTTCTGTTTTGAGAATATCTAATCACAAAAGAAAGCGACCGGAGAGGAACAAAATGAATTTTCTAATCAGGCTTGAGAGGAAAAATAAATTGTCTTTACAAAAAGGGAAAACTAGATTCAGCATCAAAACTTTCAAATCCACTTAAAATCAAGCTTTAATACGGTGTTTCACAATAGTGCGCCTCCAAGAGTTTGCAACGCGTCGACCAATCATAGAGCGCGAGATCTGTCGACCCTTTCTAAACGCGAAATGGGTCGACAGATTTCGCGCACTGTGATTTGGAAACTCGTTGCAAACTCTTGGAGGCGCACTATTGTGATTTGGCCGTATTACGTGTGTTTCTAATTATTTCAGCAAGTTGACCCCCCTTTTTATTTCTCTAGGTACGCAAGAATTTTGTCGCGTTTCTGGTACATTATTTGTTTGCTAGTCTTCATGACAGTCGGAGCATTCGCCGCCGTCAGTTTGACCTTGTTTGACCTGCCGGACGTAACAAACCCCTCCAAGGTAGTGTAACTTTGGTCGAACTAATGCATTGACATTATTGTGCATGTATTCTTGAACTTGAGACGTGTGTGCATTTTTGCACAACACACATTTGTTTGGTTTACAAGCACTGACTGCCAGTTTGTATTGGGTTCCTGCTTACATGTATTTACTTTTGCGTAAAGTTTGTATGAAGGCCCGTGTAATTCAACGTGTGGTTCTGGTGACTTTTTCTTCCTATGCTAAGGGATTCGTGGCTCGTGGGACAGTCATCTCTGCGCGGCTAGCTGGTCTCATAAACCTGTTGGAGGACCGTGAGAACATGTTAACCGGTTTCAACGTAGAAGAAGCTTTGACGATGACAACGGCAACCCCATCCTTTAATAATACCAACCTACCCTTTTGCAGCTCCATAGGTAAGCAAATGGGCATCACTCACATTTTTCTTAAATGGGTTCAAAATCATAAGCCAATCTTGGAGGAAGCCTTTAAAATCAGCGCATGATGCCGATACATTACTAGACAGTCCAAGCGCCTTTAAACACTTATATATGCAAACAATGGTAACACTGAGTTTTAGGCCAATTTCAATTTGTGGTTGTTCATTTGTTAGTGATATAGGGTTAATTTTTTCATGTCTCCGTCGAAGGATTGCTAACTTAAAACCTTTGCTTCATAAAGGATTTGACCAAAACATTCTGGCAAATTCATGTGTGACTTTTTATGTACTACGTGTGCAGGGTACTGGGATGCTTTTGTGCTTACCTTGGTCTTTGAAGGAGTGGACGGAAGAAATATGCTCACACTGGAGGCTATCAAGTCTGTGTGCGAAGCCGAGAAAAGATTTGTTACGTCTCACCCTCTTTATCAAGACTACTGCCTTTGCCGTGGTAACGAAACCGACAACAAATGCCCCCTAACCTGGTCCATTGGCAACTACGTGGCACTGCTGTCGAACAAGACATCCTGCGAGGACATCAACGAAAGCGACGTTGACCGCACCGTGGACTTACTGGTATTCTGTGCGCCTTTTTTCAAAGGTGTGTCACCATCGGATCTGGAAGACTCGATGCTTTCCCAATCTGTACCAGAGGAGTGTAACGAACATATTCACACCATACTGTACTACCTTCTCCCAGCAGACTTTAGCCGCGATATTTTGGAGAACAAGATACCCCTGGAGTCTTCACTTACTGCCTCGTTTTTACCTCTCTCTGGAGTGGAAAAGAGTGTCTTAAAGGCCATCTACAAGGAGAATATCTTATCTCTGCCAGATACGGACGGAGTCACACGTCTGACAGCAGTAGACGCCTTCATACAGATATATCTCTTTCCTGATTTTCTTTTGAGAGATACCTTGATAGTGGCTCTGGCATCGGTGGTGGTATTCCTTTTAATTTGGGTGTACACCGGGTCTCTTCTGGTGACTGTAGCAGCTTTCCTGAACATCGTTTTCTCTCTAGTTTTGGCATACTTTTTCTACACTGCAGTATTTCTCAGGCCTTTCTTTCCCTTTAGCAATATCGTCGCAATGGTCCTGTTAATTGGCGTCGGAGCAGATGACACGTTTGTGTTCGTGGACTTGTGGAAGCGGCGCAAATCGGAGCTCAGTTGCCGGAATTTAACCGATCTCGTTCTCGAGACCTTACGCCACGCTGCGCTCACAATGTTCGTCACTAGCTTCACCACAGCAGCCGCACTGTACGCTTCGGTCATGAGCGATATTACAGTTGTAAGATGTTTTGCTGTTTTTGCAGGGACAGCCATAGTTATGAATTTGGCACTGACCCTGACGCTGCTCCCAGCAATAATTGTTATGCACGAGAAGGTATCACGTTGTTGCGGCCTTTCTTATTGGTGGTCGCAAGTGTTTCGGTGCAAATTTAATAAAATCAAAAGTCTTAATAAACCTTTCGAGAGGTTAAACAAGGATTTAGTACCTTTTTTAGTTCTAAAGCTGAGGTATCTATTTATCGTTGTGTTCCTGTTGTTGATGACAGGGGCTGGTTTAGTGGTGTTTTACTCCCCACGACTCAATGTCCCTTCTAGATCTGACGAGCAATTTTTCATCGATTCAGATTACCTGGAACAGTACGATATCTTCTACAAAGATCAGTTTTCTTTCAACCACCAACTGCAATTGCCAGATTTTGTGGGTTGCGTTGTTTGGGGTGTTCAGGCTGTGGACAACGGAGACTGGTGGGATCCGGATGATAGGGGTAGGCTGGTCTTGGATGAGGGTTTTCAACTTGTGAGTTCGGAGCAACAGACGTGGTTGCTGGATTTCTGCCGAGACCTCCGCAACCAGACTTTTTTCAAGTCGTCAGATTTTCCTCTTGGATGCTTCCTGGAGGATTTCATCACCCTCATGCAACAGCCGTGCGTTAATCCATTCACGGGTGAAGATGCTTCCCCATGTTGTAACCAACGAGACTTTCCGTTAGATCCTACACTCTTCAGCACTTGCGTCGCTAAATTTGCAAACTTGGGATTCCTTCCTGGTGTATTTTTTAACAGAAACACCTCAAAGGTAGCTGCAGTGAAAATAGCTTTCCCAACCACCTTTCCGAGAAGCTACGTCCAGGCGTCAAATGAAGAAATATGGCAAACTGTGAACGCATGGGTTGAGGGGCAATTGAAGTCAGCACCAGATTCCTTTCAGCGGGGTTGGTTTGTTCCTGATATTTCATTAGGCCTGAATAGCTCGGAATTCTTGTTCTTTGACTTGCAACAAAGTCTGGCATCGGGGACTGTCTCATCCATGTTGGTGACGCTGGCAATGGCTTCCGTGGTTCTTTGTCTCACTATTCGTAACATCTGGCTGGCCGTATGGGCAATGCTGACCATTGCAAGTGCTGTGTTTGTAACTGTTGCAAGCCTGGTTCTTCTGGGATGGAACCTGGGAGTAGTGGAGGCGACCATAATAACCTTGGCCGTCGGTCTGTCTGTAGACTACACCATTCACTACGGCACAGCATATAAGCTCTCGCCGAGCACAGATCGCAGGCAGCGGTCACGGAATTCGTTGGTAACCATGACGCCAGCGATCACCATGGCCGCCCTAACAACTTTTCTCGCTGGCTCCCTAGCCCTGTTTTCGAGGGTCCTGATCTTTTACCAGTTCAGTGTATTCCTCATGCTGGTGATGGTTATCAGTTGGAGCCACGGGACGTTCTTCTTCGAATCTCTTTGCACGGTATTCGGTCCTGAGGGATCATGCGGCAATTTGCCAAGTCTTACATCTTGTTGCAAGTGCGGTGAACGGAACACCTCTGAATCAATGACGACGAATGGTTCTCTGCCTTCTAAGGTCAAAAATGCAAAAGTCGAGTTGGATGCATACTCTCGCGCAACTCCTGAGTATCCAAGGTCGGGAGAACATATTTACACCATAAGTAGCCTATAAGGTTTTCGTGCTACAGAATGTTCAAATGGTGTCCCACTTTACATGAACAGTGACACTTTCAATTCTTAATACCATAGGAATGGTCCCATTTCTGCTCTTCGAAGTAGTCTGTTGAGAAAACGGAACTAAGATTACGGACTGAATCCAGACACAATGAAGTCACTTCATGCTGCTGTTTACGACGAGTAATGTTTTGTTTGATAAATATTAGAAAAAGTATAAACGATTATTATATTACATTTAAATTAAATGTTGATAAATGTTATTAGACATAATAATTATATTTTGTAAGAATTGATACTAATTGTCACCTGTAGATTTAATTAAGGAAATGTAGAAAATTGACCATGAAACAATTAGTATAATTATTTAAATGAAATTCAGTTTATGTATTAACTCAATTATAATTTTATTGACAATTCAGTGGTGTGCATCTTACAATTTACTTGTTTTATTCTTGATTATGTTTAAATTTCATTAAACTCCAATAATTGGCCGTTAATTTATTTGATCATTAAGAATTTTCTCTCTGGTGAAATTCAAGACTTCCTTAATTTTGATACTTTATTAACGCAGGAATTACAGTTAGTTTTCTTTTTCAGCGTAACTCGTTTTCAGTAGTGGTGCCGAAAATTGGTAGAAAAACCGTTTATTAATCAGACGTTATGTTTCTTCTTATAAGTTACAAGGGCACTTATGCATTGTATCAAGAGGTAATGTGTACATTTGTATAATTTTGGTATGAGTATGGAGCATCTTTGGGTTCACAGTACAACATTATTTTTGCAGTAAATTTACCATTTTCTTAGGTCTTGACCTTTTCTCAATTTTGGACTTAAGAATCTTAAGTGTTTTACTGTAATTGAACAAAACTTTAAAACACACATCTTGATTGGCCGGTATGATTTGTTTCTGGAATCATGAAATTGACACTGAAGGTTTCTGAATTAGGTGTCCACTTAATGACCCATGTGTGACCTTTTGCAATTGTGACCGAGAACGCTGCCGACGGTCCCGCCGATCGATGTGTTTTGATACGGAGTGTAATTATTTTCCTTTTAAATTTATCGGGGAAGGGATTATGTACCATACCCAATTTGGTTTCAGATGTTGTTAAAACTGTAGCTCCATACAAATTGGGTAAAAACTATTGTTTCTTCATGTGCTGACATTATAAAAATCTCTTCAATCCATGGTAAAACGGAAAGAGAGGTACCCATTTTTGGCGAATTATTGGTGGCGCTATCACAATAATAAAGAGAGAATGCGAAGGACTGAAGGCAAGTCTAAAAGTTTTGCAGATGGCTGGTACTCAGTCCCGTATCATTAATCAGCCTACTCTACTATGGAGACCAACTATTAGAGGTCAAACGTCAATTAAATACTGCGGGGGACCTCACACGTGTGTAATACAGTCACTCCAACTCTGAAAAAATAAGCTCATTTGAAACTGAAAGAACTGGTGATTGCAGATCTACTAATATGGGAAAAAAGAAGAGGGGAAGACCTTCAAAAAAGCACAAAACTCAACCTAAAGGGAAAAATGAGCAGAAAGAGATCGGTCGATCGCGTGGTGCAGATAGTGGCTTGGACTCCGGACTGGAATCAGATGTAGAAGAGAGGGCTGTTGTACCAACTGAGAGACGGGTAGGCAAGCTGGGCCTAAGTCTAAGTAATTTACTACTACTCGCTGTACACGTTTGGACAGTGGAGTACTAGTCGGGGGATAATATAAGTGGATAAGACAGTAAGAAGAAGAGAAACCACACAAAGTAGGCATGTGACAATTTTGTAGTCGATAGTCTGATTATTAAGTTAGTCTGATATAGATGTAACAGGCATATGCCAAAAGATAGGTTTTAAAAATAAGCTTTCTAATGATGCCAAGAGCAATGTTATGCAATGTTGGGTTGGGGAGTTTGTGTTTTTTTAAATGGGCGTATTTTGTGCGTCAGTATTTGTATTGAATAACATAGGAATCTTCTGAAAAAAACTGTGACCCACAATCCTTGCTTTGCGTTATATGGCAAGATGGCGTGCACATCGCACTTGCACCACATGGAACTGAACAACTAGTAGTCCGATAAAAAAAAACCCTTCGAAGCGACAAAGGTTCAGAATTTGCTCAAATTACACCCACTTGCAGCTCAAGAGTTATGTTTCACAACAATTCAGCTAAAAATGACAACGCTTTGTTACAAACCAGGATTAGTTGGGCAGAATTCGAGCTTGAACTTTGGCGGCACTGTAATGGCACTTTCTGGAGGTCGATCGGAAAATTTCAAAAGCGAACGTGTACTTTGTCTTTTTCTCATTACATATTCATTAATTTGTCTGCCAGACTCCGTACAACAGCCAATCAGGAGCGTGAAATCCGGACACACCTTCGGCAAGCAGAGAATCAGGCTAATACTTGTGTGGGCACCTTTCGGAGGTCGCGCGCTTGGCGTGTTTGCACATGCCTACACAAAGAAGCAGGGCAAAAACCAGAATTTATCAAAAACCAAACAGTCGTATCCTTTGCAGTGGTTGTGTGATGTTTCCTAATGGCATGTCAACTACTTGAACTAGGCCTTTGTGTATGATTCAGAATCAGAGACATTGATGGTTCTTGGATCACATTTGTTGATGAGTTTACAAAGTAGGAAAGGATGTTTTATCCTGTTGTTTCTTCTTTGTTTATTCGTTTTCATTTGTTCATTGATTTCATTTTTCGGGATACACTTTCAAAGACACTAAATATACAAAGATATATTTAACCATTTGAAACCAAACATAAAGGACACAATATTTAACCAGCTCCGGCTGGATTACCCAAAAGAAACATAGTTTCTGTTGAGGGGCTTTCCAAATTGGAAACAATAAAAATTGGAACAATTATAAATGCAAAAACGTAAGGAAATAAAAACAATATTAATATAAAATAACATCATATTACAACATACATGTAACTGTGTATAAATATAATAGTAACTTGAGTGTATTAAGTTACTTTAAGTGTACATACAAAAATGACTGGTTCTGGCAAGGCAATGGAAAACAAAATACATGTACATGTAACCCTAAAAAAACAAAAGGGGGTACAACAATTTCTCAAAAATAAAAAAAATTGTTTGGATGACTTAACAGAATTGAAGCTGTGATAGTGGTAGGCCTAAACAAACTCTGTTGAAGGTTGACAGCAATTTTCTTGAAAAGTCAAAATGTGTTTCAGTTGTAGATTCATGTCTTCAATCCATGCAGAAAAAGGTGGCCTCAGGATGCAACATTCCATTTTTTTCCCAATTTTTATGCCACTTAGCGTATCTTTCCAAATTAATTCTTCACTTGGTTTTAATATCCTCCCAAGGGATGCCAAAAATAGCCTTTATTTTTGGGAGTCTGCGTAACTCATATCACTCATTTTTGTTTTGCTTTCTTTTTCCTTTGTGTTAGTCATTACAGGCTTACACTTGCCTGAATTCCTTCAAGTTTTAAATGACGTTGACATAAACATTTCCTAAGAAAATTGCTCTCTCTCTCTCTTTCGCTCTGTCTGTCAGCCTGGAATGGTCTCCGCGGGTTTCCCCAAGCTAGATGGTTACACATCTGATGCAGAACCAGACACCAGGGAACTGGTCAAGCAAATGAACAGGAAGAAGAAGAAATCGGGCGGGTTCCAGTCCATGGGTGGGTCATGAGATTGTCTTAATAAATCATGTATTTGAATACTTGAATATTCATCACTTCCAATGACCAGGTTTGATTGTGCTATTTAGTAACCCATTTCAATATATGATGGAGTGTTACAAATCCAAATGTTCAGTCCATTCAGTACAAACATGGAAATGAAAATCAAAAGTAACAAGAAAGAGCTCTCTATCTAGCCACCTCTTATCTTCCTCAATATGGCTTAGAAAATGACCCAAAAGTGTAAATCTAATGAAGAAACACTAATTTAGGAGGGGGGAAGTTTACTTTAATAATGCCTAGACATGTTCTGTCATATCCCATAGACTTTGTGTACAAGGTCTAAGATGATAGCTGGATACTTGATATTGCAAACTGCAAGCTTTCTAACAGTCAACAAAGCAAAAGAAATCTTTGGCATCAATGCTTAGTTGCAAGAATGACCTGAATTAAATTATCTATTAAAAATAAAAATAAAATCTCAGGAAAAGTTATGTCAGTCTAAAGATAGACAGCAGATGGACTGACACTCCATTCTTTGTGAAGTTACCAATCTAAGCGAAGATTCAGATGTAGAAGTTCACATATCGCATTCTTGTCACGGTTATTATTGCATTATTCAGGGTTGAGCCAACCAGTATTCAGTGGCATCATGAAGAAAGGCTACAAGATACCGACGCCCATCCAGAGAAAGGTTACTCATCAATTTATCCCAAGCAAAAAGTAGAAAAATAAGACCGCTCGCTTCGAAAGTTGTGAAGAATGATTATTCTTTTTTTTTATGATACCCCAGTCCTCCTGAATTAATCCACATCCACTGTTAGGATTTGAAGGGGTATGCAGAAGTAGGCAAGATTCAGTAAATCCACTAAAACTCTACATGCGTCTGGGAAGTTTTAGGCTTCTTGCCCCTGCCGTGGAGATTGTTAGATGTTTGACGTCTGTTTTCCTGTCATGAGAAATGAAATGAAAAAGCATGCTTGTATTATAAATTTGTAATATTTCAATGGACTTTCTCACAGACTAATCCATCAAGCCTAACCCCGTGGTCTTTTGTCCAATCACAGCTGTGATTTATGTCATTCATGCATGTGCGTTTGTCTTGCGCACAGCTGTGATGTGCAGTGTAGCATTGGACAGAAGCATGTGTTTTTCACCCACATGGTAGCGGGCGGGGCTAACTGGATTAGTCCAGCAGGCGGGGCTAACTGGATTAGTCTAGCAGGCGGGGCTAACTGGATTAGTCTAGCAGGCGGGGCTAACTGGATTAGTCTAGCAGGCGGGGCTAACTGGATTAGTCTAGCAGGCGGGGCTAACTGGATTAGTCTAGCAGTTGTTTGCGCAGTCACAGACAGTCAGAAACTTTCATACACATCCCTTGCACAAGCGTTCACAGATATCTTGTGTTGCTGGATTCATTTTAACTGCATAGACAACTGTGTCCAACTCCAGAGTATGTAAATCAATTGTTGAATATTCGTTTATGCTTATAGTGCATCCCAGTCATCATGGAAGGCAAGGATGTGGTTGCCATGGCAAGGACTGGCAGTGGCAAGACAGCGGCTTTCCTTATCCCAATGTTTGAGAAGTTGCACCACCGGTCTGCACAGTCAGGGGCCAGAGCCTTAATCCTGTCCCCAACAAGGGAGCTGGCGCTGCAGACGCTCAAGTTTGCCAAAGAGGTGCGTCCTGAATGTGCACTGCGGCTTATGAGCAGACTGCAAATGTGAGGCGTGCTGTGTGTTCAGCCAAGTGCACCCATATTAAGCTTGAATTAGCAGAGGACCAGTCACAGGCTTCATACCAGTATTATCACATGCTGTTTTGGCTGGTAACCTGCTCTCACGCCGCAGATATCCTCTATTTTAAGCGGAATCTTGTGCTACATGTATTTATTGCTGCGAAACCTGCTCTGGTAAGCTCGTCTTGATGTATCACTTTGCGCCTAGTTCTCAATTAAGGGTTAACCAAATTTTTTGGGGGGGCCAAATGTTTTTAGGAGGGGGCAGGAGGGCTTTTGGAAGGAAAAGAAATAAGATAGAAACGAATTGCCTTTGTTGCATTTATCCCCCCCCCAAGGGTCCTTTTTATTTGGGGAGGAGGTGTGTCTCCATTCCCTCCCTCCATCCACCCTTTGTACAGTCCCACAACCATTGAGAACCACATTCCATATTCACTTTAGCGGGGCTCGAGCCCAAGACTGCCTGCTTTTCAGCTCAGACAATTGCCCTGCTGCTAGATCTGAA